AAAAATAAACATATCAATATAATTCTTTTTTATATAGATGCATAATATCATTACCTTTCATTTGGTATATTTTTTTCATAAATTTAACCCTTAACCTGCCCACAAGGGGGGATTTAAAATGACAACTTTTTCACAAAAAATTAATTTTTTTAACTTAAATTTTGAAAATGTTCCGGAAGGTCTGACACTTTTATATATATCTTAAATTAAAGCTTATGTAATATACTTTATAATCGTAAAAAAAAATTTCGGACTTTATTTTATCTTCATGATGAAAACAGACATCAAAATTAATAAAAAATTACGATTTTTGTAAAATAATTTTTTTTTATATTTTTAACTTTATAATGCTATAACTTTTTGAAAGATGTATGGATCAATATAATTCTTTTTTTTGTAGATGCATGATGTCTTTACCTATCATTTGGTATATTTTTTTTATAAATCTGACTTTTTACCTGCCTACAGGGGGGGATTCAAAATGACAACTTTTTCACAAAAAATTGACTTTTTCAACTTAAATTTTGAAAGTGTTCCGGAAAGTCTGACACTTTTATATATATCTTAAATTAAAGCTAATGTAATATACTTTATCATGGAAAAAAAAAATTTCGGACTTTATTTTATCTTCATGGTGAAAATGGCTACCAAATGCTATTATTGTGTGAAAATTCTCAATTTTATTTTTTACATTTTTAACATTATAATGCTATAACTTATTGAAAAGTGTATTGATCAATATAATTTTTTTATGGGAAATACTATTTTCTAATAATCTCTTTTTTATTCGACATACTTTGTCTTAATCAGGATATTAATAAGGAACTAGCAGTTTATGAAGCTTTTGGAATAATCCACCAATTTTTTAAAATTAAACACTATCTAAAGATTTGCATCGAAGCGTTTTTTTTTGATAGTGATTTTAATCACTGTCAGATATCATTATACTTGATCCAACTATGCCACGTCACCACTGTGCCGCGACCCCCCTGTGCTGGGTTTTTTATTTTATTTTAAAATACCTGACAAGGGGAGTACAGATTTTCATAAATATTATATAAATTAAAATTAATATAGCATAGAAAGTTAAACTTATTTAAATTTATTTGCTTCTTTTAAGTTAGGAAAAATAACTTTGAAATTTGAACTAGCTTAAATAGCCAATTTTTCAACCGACTGAACCAACGTACGGTTGCCGAGTTGGTAAAATTTATTTTTTTGGTTCTTTAAAGTTGATGAAAAATTTTTGATAAAGATTTATGAAAGTTTAAAGTAAAAAAAATTGAATATATTACCATAACTTTTAACGCAATTACAAGTTTAAAATTGACATTTAGGCCAGTCAACAAAGGAAAAATTGCGGAAAAAATTCCCAACCAAATTTTGTTTTTTTAAAAGTTGAATTAAAATATGTATAATGACATACTAATAGTCCTCAAGATTGGAATTGAGCTTTTTTTTTAAATCCTCGCAAAAGTTCAAAAATATGAGCTTTCTTAATTTTCTCAAAAAANCAAAAGTTCAAAAATATGAGCTTTTTTAATTTTCTCAAAAAATATTTAACTTACAAAAAAAATTTTCGTACAAGAGTTGTTTAAAAGGCAATTATAAACAAAAAAATTATCTTATATTTTTTCATTTAAACAAATATTTGTCGAGTTACATTAAATTTAATATGAGTACTAAAATTTATATTCCATTTTTTTCATTTTACGGTTACTTTTTATCATGTTATACTTACATTAGACACAATGTTATAAATGCATATGTGTGTATGNGGAGACACAATGTTATAAATGCATATGTGTGTAATACACTGTTTATGTGTGAGTTTATTTATTTATTGTATCAGTATATTGAGATACAACCGATAGAGTAGGTAATTGATTTGACGCTATATTGTTTAAACCCAACTAAACGCTAAATTGTACATTCCAAAACAACAATCATATTATGTCAATTGCCACCGGAATATCTGGTAATATTTTTCTTTTTCTTTGCCTTAATCCCAACTACTTGGGGTCGGCCACCTATATCCCAAACTTCCATTTGACACGATCTCCCACATCTTCTACGCTCACATCAGCTGTCATCAAATCGCATTCAATAGCATCCCTCCATCTCTTTTTTGGTCTTCCTCTATCTCTTCTTCCTTCAACATTNGCCTTCCTCTACCTCTTCTTGCTTCAACATTCATTTCTATAACTGTTCTTACAGCTTCCAATTCTTCACTCCTCATAACATGACTAAACAATCTAAGTCTATTTTCTGTCATCTTATCCACGATTGACGCAACACCTATACTTCCTCTTATATGCTCGTTCCTTATCCTATCTTCTCTAGTCACTCCACTCATCCAACTAAGCATTCTCATATCTGCTACACTTATTCTCTGCTCTATTTTCTTATCATCCGCCCAATACTATGAACCATTCATCATAGCTGGCCTCACAATTTCATACTGAATTTAAAAACTATAATTAGTATTTATTCATATATTATATTTTAAAATCAAAGAACTACTAATCAGGATATAATTAAANATTATATTTTAAAATCAAAGTACTACTAATCAGGATATAATTAAAGAAATAAGAGTTGATGTTGCTTTTGGAATAATCCACCAATTTTTCTAAATGAAACATTATCTACAGATTTGCATCGAAGCGTTTCTTATGATAGTGATTTTAATCACTGTCAGATATCATCTATACTGGAACTAACTATGCCACGACCCCACTATGCTACCACCCCACTGTGCTGGGTTTTTTATTATCAACATGAAAGTTTATAAAAAATAAAAATGAATTTATTACCATAACTTTTAGCTAAAATTGCACATTTGAAATTGACATCATTAAATAAAAAAAATGGTATTGTAAAGATTAATATGCAGTCAGAAAATTTTATAATTACTATTTACAGTAAAACAAGCAGTTCAATGACAATTAAACAATTATACATCAGACAATGAAAATACATATTTTATTTTTTTCTCAATTTTATCAAACAATTTATTTTTATCCGCAAAATCCATAAATGACTTAATAACATTAAAGTCTTTGTCTACAAATAATTTTTTTATATCAATAATAAAAATTTCAGCACCGACTAAACTATAATAGTTAACAGTTTCCAACTCTGTTTCGTTGTGAACTGTTTGATTTTCGATGGATTTTTTAGAGACGAGTTCTTTGCCGTCTAATTTCATTTCTTTTAATGCATTGCACCCTAAATCCAAACATAAAGTGTTTAAATATGATTTAAGGAGGTAATCATCAACATCTCTCTGTGTTACAATTGTGTTTTTTACCTTATAAATAAAATCATCTTCTTTTAAATGTAAATACATCCCAAACTCAATTAGTATTGCTATCCATTTATCGACCAAACATTCCTTAATAGATTTATTTTGTTGTTTATTAACGTATAAGAAATGTTTCCATGTTAATCTTAACATAATGACTTTTAAGAAGCTAAAAACTGATTCGTAGTATATCTGAATACTATTTAATTTGTTTTTTCCCCAATCAATCCTATGTGCATTTTCGTAATTTTCATGCAATTGCAGCAAAGTACTTCTTTCGATACGTCCCCAATTAACTTGCACATTGTATTTATACAAAAAGCGACTACTTTTGGTACGTTTATGTATAATATCTTTAATTAAAATATTTCTTTTTGTGAACTTCTTTAAGTCTTTTTCAGATAATTCAGTATTATTCAAAATGAAATTGCTCATGATTTTCGATTTTTCAAGCATGTAATTAGATATATCTTTCCTTGAGCAATTATCCAATTGTTTTAAATTCTTTTCGTCCACATAAAATTTATTTTCTTCTTTATTACATTTCATGGATGAAATCTCAGATTTTAATGCGTCTATTACAATATCATGAGTGTCTTTAAGGTATGTATTTAGATGCTCAATTGATTTTGGTAATTTGTTAAATAGGGAACAAACAATGCCTATATACATGTTTAATAACCACAAAGAACCTATTTCAACCAATTTTAAACCATGAAGCGTACAAATCATACATTGAATAATATTATAATTACATGGATTTATATAAAATGCTTTGTTATAGTTAAAATTTGGATGATGTATTTCTAATCTAGCTACTTGCATATAGTTCAAAGCGTATAATAAATAGGAACATTTTAAAAGCTTAACATTTTCGACGCACTTCAATTGATTATCCTTGTATCCAGTATCGAGTGAATCACTATGGTTCACTTGTAAGAAAAATAACACTACAGATACTCTTAATATCATACTTAAATTATTGTTTTGAATTAACATTTTAGTGTAACAGACAATAGTAATTTTATAAAACTAATTATAATACAGTATTGAAAACGTGACTTGCGTTACTTATACGTTACTTTTTTAATAATTATTGAAAACTGTAACTTTTTAATATTACATTTTTTAGAAACTAAATATCGTTTCCATTATTTTATTCATACATTAATATATCAATGACGTGTTCATGAGTTTTTTTAAAGTAAGGTTTACGTGTTCAATGTAGTCTGATGGTTTTTTTCTTTTCTTGTTGTTTGTAGGGTATTGAATAACACCTAAATAAATATGTATTTCTTGGTATTTTTTTTATATTTTCATTATTTCTATTTTCTAATAATATTATCATCAGACTTTAGGTTTTAATAGGTATTTTATCATCAAAAAATTCCATTAAAACATTTTCTGGTGAGAGGTACCACATATGATTACTAAACTTTTTAAGTCCTACTGCACTTATATCTTTGTCGATATCCTTAAAATTAGAAAGATTTTGCATGCGCTTTAAATCTAAAAGCAGAGCTTTAAGCGCATTACTTGCAGAAAACCAATATTTTAAATAAAATGGAACTAATAATACACAAATATCACGTACGCTAACTCGTTCGCTATCAGTTAGTTCAAATAAATCTCGAAAAAGAAAAATTTTCAAACAATTAATTTCTTTCGCCATCTATCTAGCATGATGATAAGCGCCAGATGATCTAATTAAACTATTTGGATATATAATAGCGTAGGGTAGACCTGTACACATGACTGGTGAAAATGTTCATCATAAAAAAAATACTAAAATTCAAGTTAATTGATAACTGACTTTCATTTAAACATGTCATGAAGAAATATTTAGGAAAAAAAATTTATGATTTTTATCATAAAAGTTTTTCGTCCTTTCTCAAGGCAAAATTATTTGACCGCCACTATAACGTAGTACACAGCTGTTCAAAAAGTAAGAAAACTTTATCAATTTTTATAAACATCTTATTTAGAGTATCAGCAAGTAAGGAAAGGGTTTCTATTGTTTTCATTGTTTGTAATAAATGACCCGTTTCTTTACTTTTTGAACACTTGTGTATATTTTATGTGTTATGTACAGGAATGATATCAATCATTTCTTCTCCAATAAATTCTAACTTAATCACTTGTACAGAATAGCACAGTATCTGCTAACATCTCAAATAACTTTTAATCTAGTCATAAGTTTACGTTAATTTTTTTTTATTAATTGATATATGTTGAAACACATATAATAAAGAAAAAAGAGGTAGAGGAATACCAAATAAGATGGAGGGATGTTATTGAATGCGATATGAGGACGACTGATGTGAATGTAGATGATGTGGAAGATTGTGTCAAGTGAAAGGTTAGGATAAGGTTGGCCAACCCTTTTTAATAAAATCTTATTAAAAGGGAAAATGCAAAAAGAATAGAAGAATAGTGTTATGGTCCCGATATTTAAAGGTAAAGGAAATATACAGAAGCGTGGAAATTATAGAAGTATAGCTTAATTTTTTCACATAGTGTGAAATAGTTTCGTTTCCGTCTGTCCATTTCGCCTCCATAGATATTTCAATTATTAATATCGAAAAAAAAAATCAAATATATACAATCTTTAAAATGTTACAAAAAAATTACTACTGAACATTAATAATATATATAATTTTAAATCTATTCTACAAAAAGGCCATCTTAAAAATGTTTTAAATTTTTGGTAAATTAAAAATAAAATTATTTTTTATAGTTCCGATGAATAACAATTATTAAAAAATAAATTAGTGCAACCCATACAATGTTTTAAACTTTTTTGATTTACAATATTATGAAAAAAAAATAATATACATAATATAAAGGTCAAACAGAAAAGTGTAAACATTTAAATAACAAAGTATTTTAATAAATTTTATATTTTTTTGAAATTCTATTTTGACCCGGACTGTGAGACACAGCCTTGGACAAAATATTTTATCGAGTACTAGATAATTGTACAAAAAAAATTCTATTTTCACTTAAATCTGATTAATGTTTATAGAATAAATTTAGTTTTAAAAATGGATATCTGATGCTATTATATTATTTTGGTTTTATTTTGACAGTATACCTCATAAGAATACCCGTTATTGGCTGTTAATGGAATAATAATAAATTATTAGTTATTATTATCTCTAAAATGACATCATCAAAATCACAATACTAGTCTTAGAATATCAGTACAATATTTTTAAATCAAGGTTTGGCACACATTTTTTTTTACATTAAATTGATTTGTGCATTTATTTATATAAATCATAGCAATATCACAAGGTTTTTTTATTACATCTGTTTGTTGGCAATTAAACGATAAGGTACAGTTTTTCTTTGTGACAAAATTTACAGAAATATTCATACCGGTGTGTTTAACATTGACGACAGATTAAGTAAACATCCCTTTATCCAATTGGTTATATTAATGTTGATCTATTGTGATAGAAATGTTAATTTTCTTAAGAAAATAATATTTAGTTGTTTTTTTATGTGGCTACAATCCAAAAATGCCTGTGATTCAATTAATAAACTTTTAACTCTTTTTGGTCATTTGGCAGTATGTTAATGCTATTTTTTTTTATCGTCATTATCAGTTTAGTAACTAAATGATGTAGTACAGTGGACGTTGTTGACGGACAGAAAATGTAATATTATTAATAGCTAGTAATTTATTGTTCGAGTTAATAATATTATATATTATGCGGAAACAATTTATTACCCAACTTACAATATTATAATATTATTTTAACGGTCCATTTGAGGTCAATGCTATTTCCTGACCGGTATTTATAAGCCAAGAAATACAAACTTAATTTTACGAAAATTGTTTTTTTATTGGAAATTATACGCAAAATTAATCATAATATTATCTAGGTTAATAGCTAATAGTTTTATTAAATAAATAAAACTAAAAATGCAAAAATGGTATAAGGGATAGTAAGATCAGTAATACCGGGGTTTGGATAAAAAGTATAANTCAGGGGTTAGTAAGATCAGTAATACCGGGGTTTGGATAAAAAGTATAATTTTACCTTTTTTACTACAGTTAGATTTTAATGGCACATTTAAACATACATAACCAGGTCTGAACCATAGTTTAAAAACTTGCGGGTAGCTCGTTTGGCCCCATACTCATAATGTTTATTTTATGAAAATTAATTTTTTTATATTAAAAAACATAACATTTTAATGACCTCAGTAGATATTTAAACTCAATGAGTACAGTGGCGTGCTTAGTGGATAGCAGGCCTATACTGTTTTCAAAGCCAGCTTTAGGCACAAAACCCATAAAATGTTTTTCATTCTCAAATAATGCAAAAAATAAAACATCATCAAAACTCCCCTGTCCAAATTATAATAATTAAATCTAAGCCTGTCCTACATTTTATTCCTAAGCATGCCTCTGATTGGGCATATGAACTCAATAAACAATTTGATGATTAAATAAATAGGTAGGATTGGGTTTGATTAATTGTTTACAACATATAAAATGTTTTATGGATATTTATAGATTTTTAAGATTAAAACATATTGTGCACTTAAATTAACAAAACAGATTTAAAAATACTACTGTGCCCTATATTATTTTTTCGTTAATTTTTTGATGCGCATTTGTTGATTTTTAATAAACAAAGATGTGGATCGTGAACTGTAACTTTCTGTAGGTGGATATGAAAGATGCTAGTGGAAACATAACACGTGAAAAGAAAAGTCGTTTTGTTAGATTTATGTGTTAGCATTCCTGAGTGTCGCTGTATTATTTTCAAAGTAATTCATGTCCCATTACTAACACAATTTTGGCAACGAAATTATAACGTATAGGCGCCATTATAAATTCATCGGTCACGGGCGAATAATTAGACAAAGTACACTATAGATTTTCTTAATATTATGTGTTAATATTTCTCAAATTCATTACAAGTGATTTTGTCATATAACTTATTTTTGAAAATAATTATATAAAATTAATGAATAAAATTCATTATAAAAATATTAGAAACGGTTAATATCACCGTTAATAAAAAAAATTCCCTTAAAATTATATCACTAGATTCGAAAAATTAAATCGTATGCTAATGACACAGATACACCCTATATTTTTCTGCAAAAACGTCTTAAAATATTTGTATTACTAGTTAAGAGCAGACATGATTTTTCAGTCTTTAAAATAACAATTATACGGAATTGAGAAAATATTACATTTACCATGATGTGATTTTTTTTATGTCGTCTATGAATATTCTCAGTTTTCATTGGATCGATTTTGTTGGTATATACATATAATTTTTTGCTATTAAACCTGTGCACTTGGGATTCTACAATACATTGAGGTTTTGTACCAACCCACAACCGTCTTTGATTGAACCAAAAAACCCTGCATGACATATTTTCGAAGTTATTAATTAAACACACGCACCATCCAAGCACTTATTAAGAACTATAATTACACTTGGATCAACCCATGTAAAATTTTGTGTTTAAAGTTGATAAAATTTTGATACCTAGAGCCAATCATTGATCAAATTCAGCACCGCTCAATTATTTGTAAATTAATGTATATGACACCACAAATGTACTCGTGTTATCAAAATAACAATAAACGCAATATTTCAAAAAAAAAAAGTTCATTTTTAATTTAGAAAATAATTAAGAAGCATTTAATAATTGAATGAAAATTTAAAAATCCTAGAGCAATACTAGAATTAATTCTATAAACAAAATTGATTCTCATTCACACAAGTGGCGTATTTAGATATTTTTTAAACGTTGGAGCTTATTATATATCTTGCTTTCAGAACGTAGAGTAGTGAAGAGCTTCACCCCCTCCAATACACCCACTTCCATTATTTTATATTAATGAGAAGGGGATCAAATCCCAAAACTCACCTTAATAATCCACTGATCCACATATTTGTTATGTTTGGCTAAATATATTAGATTAGTTATTTTTCTCATTTGCAATCCCCGAATGTTTTTGTTTTCCTGGTGTCTTAAACACTAATGATGAGGGATATTTTAACACTCTTCTGCCAAATTATAATCTTAGTCAGTGGTGTGACCAGGGGTGTGGTTACATTGGCCCTAATGTATATTACAATCTTTCCTATTAGCCAATTATTTTTATTAACAATATAAGACTTCGGCGCTAATAAAAGCATATGATAATTCAAAAAATTAAATAAAATTCCTTAATTCCCTAGTTACGCTACTACTCGATCGTTAATTAACATTTTAGTTATAAGGTTGTCCTTATTGTCATTGTGTCTCAAAACTTTATTTGAACAATAAAGAACAACTATTAATATATTTACAACAATAATATTTCTGCTAATTTTCTAAGTGACAAAAAGAAAGATTTTATTTAATTTTAAGTTTATTGTTGGAATACAATATTACCATTGTGTTAGATAAAATTAAAGTTAGTACAAGTAGCTGGTTATAGATAAGAAAAGGGCTTAGGGAGCTCAATTATCAATAAAATATTTCAATTAATAAACAAATTAAAGTAAAAATAATGAGATTAATATACATAGGAACAATTTGACACAATACGTTTGAGCATCTAACCTTATTTCTCCACTCCTTAAAAATATTTCTATATAAATTAACATGCAATTTTTATAACTTTTGGAAAGCTGTGGCAGAATTGAGGGATTTAGACCACCCTAGGCCTCAATATTGCGTCTTTGTTGATGTAGCCTTTTCCAAAAAAATATATGTACCCATGAATATATATTCATTACTTTATTAAATAATAGTAATATTATGTACTTTAATTTAATAAATTATAAACTGTTACTTAGTGCAATAACATTATAAAAATAATTCGGCAAATTAAACATAAGTTATTTATAATATTTCATTGGCATTTAGATTAAACACAGTATTATTGCGACAAGAAAGCGGCTGAATAAGGTCCATTAACTGATAAACACGGACTGGTCACTCCGAAAATATTTTAAAAATGTCAGGCCATAGGTCGGACGAGGCCGCTATGAAGAGAACATTGCCGCCGTCTAATTTTAGTCACACGGCACATTCTTTACGGTCCATTATAAGTGTTCGCTATAAGCTCGCAACGAATATAGAGCACCTCAAAATCGCCTACATCGGTAAACTAGTAATTTTCTTAGGGTTTTATGACCAATGATAATTTTCAATTATAATTTTTATTGACCAATTTATCTTAAACTTATAATTTTTTTTTTCCATAATTGTATGTAAACACGATTCGTTTACTTTAATACAGTGGCGTAACTAGGATTTTTACTTAGAGATGGCTTTTTTATGACTTATCACATACTCTTACTAACTCCAGTCATATACTATTAATAGAAATAATTGGACAAGAGTAGGAAGTTATAACTTCCTTTTGACTTGCTTTAATATACAGAGATTTTATGTTTTGTTTTTGAATAATAAGATTTACATTTTGTTTACAATGCTTCTTATGCAACCCTTTATGTTGTAAATTGGCCATATAATTATTCATTCAATTAAAAAAAAATGATTTTCAGTTACTTTATAATATCTAGTTGTACGCATTTTTTGCAAGTGCGATATTAGAGTTTCAAAAATGATTTAATTCAAATTTATACCTTTAAACATAAATTATGCGTCTGTATTTTTACATTATGAAGTTAAATACTTACAATTATAATTTAGCGATAAATAATTTTTAACTTGAAACCTATTGGTAATTCTAAAAATATGAACACAAAAGCACAACGTTTTGTTATCTCTCATTACCAACCTTATTACGAAATTTTCCCAAAGTAAAACATTAAACCTGCCAAGGAACAACTAAACATTTAGATATTTTAAATAATAATAACAACATCAACAAGAGCTATGCAAATGCGGGGGAGTAGTAACACTTTTCTATGTTTGCCCGCTCGAGCGCGCCGCTGCGATTTACCGAGTTAACGTGCCAGATAAAAGCTCAAGTCCATCGACATTGTTGTAACAGGCGATTTCGAGCAGCATGGCAGGAACGATGGTGATAGGAAGGTGTGTGCCTCCTTCCACTGAATGCGAGTCTCGTGTACCGATCAATGGGGATATCATCTTGAAAAAATCAGATTTGTAAGTAGTTTAAATATTATGTGTTTCTTTCAAAACAGCTATACAAAACAAGTGTCATTTTTATAGATGGAGTGTGTCGTATATATGTCCAGGACTAGCACTTTGTGGAGCTTTATCTCTTTACACTGACAAAGATACCGTAAATATGTTAAGGCCTACTTGTCTCATAAACTGTGCTGGCGAATTACCCGATACGCCTCTTCCCGATACAGTAAAGAAATACCATAAGATTCAAGTAATTGACAATCCTCAAACAAACTTGCGACCACATATTGATCAGGTCGTTGATCTCATACACCAGGTAAAAAAAGACTATTACTTGATGCATGATATGTCTATAATTATCTAAGTTAAATTAACTTAAATTGACAGATGTTAGTTAGGGCTAAAGACTATAAGAATTTTTTATATTTTACTGAATCTATACCCAAGTATGAACAAAATTCATAATATGTAAATAGAACGTCCAAGTATAAAAGTATTCATGAAATGGTCCTTTTATTTACTTATTTACTAGTTAAATTATTAGTTAGTTTAATTATAAATTAAATTTTAAAAAAGGTTATTCATATATTGATATATTTAGAATAATTTAAGCAAAATATATAAATACTAGAAAATCTCAGCCTTAATAATAATGATTGAAAATAATGAAGTTTTTTAGTGTTTATACTTTACTTCATAAAAAATAAATATTATATTTTATAATATTTATTTTATAAATAAAATATTATAAACTACCTAGTTATTTATTTCCAGAAAGAGACTGGCTAAATTAAATAATTTGCCGAATTTAACTTATATGTATCATAAATCAATCTAAATTTTTTATTTTTAATCGTGTAAATTAAATAAATACCTAATTGTTAAATTCCTAGAATTCAAATTATTTTAATTGTCGTAATTCGTAAGGAAAAAAATTTTATAGATGTGTTTTTTTATAATACACGTAGTGAAGCCTAAATATAATGTAAACCTGGGAACCCCTAATCATAGGTATCGTTTAGGTTATATATTTTATACTATGAGGCCATTATAATAACTAATTAGTGTTATTAATTAGTCTATTTATAGACTAGTAAATAGTTTAATAGATTTATGGTTAAATAGTAGTTTTTATAGTATAATCATTTTTGAATGGGGATATGTTCAAAGACTTCAATTAAAAATCAAAATTCCCTAATCCTGATAATACTCTATAACTACTTTTATTGAAACTAAATAATAAGTATTTTTAAATTCTAATTTTAATTTTATAGACCGACAATAAGTGAATACTAGAGGTATTTACCTCGTATATAAATTCATTTTACCCCTTGTATACCATTGTATGAAAAGTGATGATCACATACAGTTTTGAGGGGTTAGTACTATTTATTCTCAGCTTGTAGTGTTTTTTAACAAAAAAAAACATGTAGGTGTTGTAATTTACGTTTCTGAAGATATATCCGATGTGGGTGTAAAACGTATATTTAAATGTTTTTTTCAAGTATAGCTCCATTTGCATCATTTAAATATTTATGTTTATTAAAGAATCTACCTACAATAATACTTTTCTAAAACAATTGAGTTTGAAATAAAAGTAAAATAAACTCCCATATTAATTTTATTAAAAAAATTAAGTATATAAATATAATTATAAAAACTAAACCATTTTGAAGTAAAATTTCGAAGTGGACCCACGCCTCCTAGATATAATAATGTTCATAACTTCTGAAATACTAATTCAAACGACGTTATTCACCAGTCATTTTCTTAATTTTATCATTTTCTATTTTCTTATGCATGATTGCAATTTGAAAAAAACACCTTTATAAGTTAAAAGGGATGAATGTTGAAAATATTTTATAACATTACAATTAAAATTGTAATGAAAAACGTATGCTCTATATACAGGAATACACTACCTGATTCTTTTTCCTTCTTTTTAACCTTAATTATAAATTTATTTTTTGATAAATGTATTTTTAAAAAACTACTCATCGCTGTAAATTTTCAGGCTGAGATAATATTAGTCAAATTTTTTTAATATTTTTTAAATAACACGGAAGACTTTCAATCAAATCAGATATTAATTTACTATAAAAAATTGGTATGCCAAAGGTGAACAAAAATATTTCGTTTGGCGCCGTTCCCGGTATTTGCTAAGTTGTACCTTGCGTGGACCACTGGCCGACAAACTACAAAGCCTTGACAGGAACATGATAGTTAAAAAAATACATGAAGAATAAGCCCCGCCTTTAGTTAATAACACGAAAAACGGTTGTCAACGGTATTTTGGCCAGAAATTGCGAAACAGATAATAATAACAAATATTATTACGTTAATAACACAAACAAGAAGTTCACTGGTCTATTTTAAGAACTTTACAATTATATCAAACCTCATAAACATTTAAGTGTATTATAACCAATATATATATTATAATGTGCACTGACTGGGTAGTAACTAAGGAAAAACAGCAAACGCATTTGTATTTCTACGTAAGGCCGTGCAGGTGGTGTTTAGGAGTCGTAATTCATTCCAAGAAAAACATTTGTTGCGCCTAATCTATTCTTGTGTATGAAACAGATTTAAAAATATCAGTGTTCAATAATTAATAGATGTTGAACACTATTTGATAACAAAAATCGTACTTGTAATTTTAGTTTGATGTGTTATATTACTTTGATATTTTATAAACTATTTATAGTTAATAAAATATACAGTTATAGTAAACTAAATAAAAAGTTAAAATGAAAAATAGTTAATACAAATCGTAGGTTCAGTTAAGAATGAGTATCAAAATTTAACACTATACGGTAAAACGTCTAAAAAAATAATTACAGACCATAAAATTATTCCTTTAATCAATACACTAAGATTAATTCCATGTAATGTTTCATTATTTACTAGTTATTATAATGTATTGATTAATGGTTGAATAACATGATTGTTATTTAATATTATAGTCCTTTATTTATTAATTAGTTGCCATAAAATTTTTTTTTAATTTAATGAACTTTTTTGGATCTTATTTTCAATTAAAAATGAAGCGAATACCAACTTATTATTTTCTAGGAATATTTGAACGGTGGACTAACAGTTGTACATTGTGCGGCTGGAGTGAGCAGATCGGCAACCTTTTGCATAGCGTACTTAATCAAATATCGTGGAATGGACATGAACAAAGCGTACCGGCATGTAGCTAAATGCAGGCCGTGTATAAATCCCAATCGGGGTTTTATTGATCAGCTTATAAAATATGAAGAAAAATATGCGGATGTTTAACATATCGTACACATAACAACATTCCATTTTTACTATTTTAAGATAGATTTATTTTAAGAATGTTTTTTCTTTGATTTAATAAAAATTTTGTTTATTGAAACTATTTACAATGTTATGTGTATACATAAGTATAAAAATAGAACAGATGTTGCTATTCATTGTGTTGTTTTTTACTTTGTAACTATCCTTCATCCAGTTATAAAATTGTAAACAGGATCATTATTGTTTTTCTATTGTTGGGAAGGCCGCAGCGACTATGTTAAAAATATTGTCTACCTACCATTTAACATTTATCAGGACCCGTGCGTAGAAAACATAAAAGAAAAATAAAATCACCTTTTACCGTAACCGCCACATTGCTTATTTAAAAAATGATTATGTCAAAACCACCGCCTGTCAAAATATTTTATTTTTGTTGTACAAAGGTGAAAAACTGATATAATTTTAATAGGGTCATATTAGTTGCAAATGTTTTTACCCCATTATACATGTTGGTTAAAATTGATTAAGTATGTGTACCGTTAAACCATGGAGTTCCCTATATTACAAACATTTTATTTCAATTTTGACAATGAATATCTATTATTTTATAGATCAAACAGCACCCACATGTATAAAGCGAATGAAAACGAACCTTTTTTTTAAATTTAAATAATTAAAAATAATGCATGTTTAAGAATTTATGATAAAAATTTTATGTATTAGATTTCGATTAATTTTTTTTTTATATATAGATTTCACACAATTCTTTAACATTCCAGTAGCGAGGGGTAAAGAAGACAACTTACCCTGCCTCATCTTTAAAATGAGATAGACTTCATAAATTATGCCAAACCCGAACTCTAAAATCCTGGTTACGCCATTGAAATATCTTTATTAAAGCAGTGAAAAGAACTTGATTAATAATTTAATACAAAATACATAAAAAAATTAATACCTCTTTAACAATATCAGAAGCGATATTAAAAGTGGGGGTGACTCCAACCCTTTATCTAAAATACTGACTCAACAATTTTATACAGGTAAATATATATATATAGCTCTTTTAAAAAAGGTTTGTTTGAAAGCAAAAAAATTGAAAAAAGTGAAGTGCAAAAAAGGTCATATATACACTTTTTTAGCGTTACAAAATTTTTTAGTTGGCAATTTTTATTAAAAAATTTGTTGAGTAAAGAAAAAAAACGATGACTGCAAAAACTAAGTAGGCAAATACTTTCCCTAATAAAATTTCTAGAACCGCTTCTGAGAAATACATCAAAATTAAAATATTACAAATTGCGTTTATTTATTATGTCACAATTCCACTTACTTTCTTCCTTTAGTTTTGCATCAAATGTTTGAGGGATTTATGTTACGGAAAACCAATATGACATGCCAAAATCTCATGATTAAGTTTCTCATATTTTGCTGCTCATTTTCATTTTGTTTAAAGTCAACAGAGAAATATAGAGTGAATTAACTATATACCGTAAAAAATATTCTTTACCTATCCCACTAATAAATGTGCTTAAGCATATATTTAGAAATTTAATACATATATTACCAAAGATAAAGCATACTAAATTTATAAATAAATACTTTGCATTAATTTATTTATAGTTGTATAAAATGAAAAAATACGGTAAAAAAGAAACGATTTAGTTAAATTGCACTGATGTGTACAAACTTTTTAGTTATAGAATTTTTATAAAAATAACGGTTAACCTTACTACTTTTACAACGCATACAGTAGTGGTGTTTAAACATAAATCTTATAAACATGGATAGGACATTCATAATTGAGGTCCTTGTGTTTTCGCGGTCCTGAAATGATATGCAATGAGGCCGTTTGTTTACATTATAATTGTGATAAGCGCGTAAGATATTGTTTTTTTAATTTTGTAATAAATTATAAATTATAACTTTTACATTATTATATAAATAATTATTTATTACTAACCATTAAATAATATAAAGTAAAATCTCTTCATGTAATAATGCAAACAAATAGTTTCAATTTATTATCACCATAGTCATAAGTGATAAAGCATCAATGTCCTATCCATATTTATAAGATCTATGTGTTTAAATTATTCATAATTTGACGAAATGTTACAGATTTTCTTTTTTTTTTGTTATTGCAATAATACATTGTATAATTAAAGACTTCTGAGTAAGAATTATTTCATGGTTGGATTAGTTTTCTAAACTCAAAATAAAAATTATATTCATCCTTTAAAAAAAAAAACAGTTTTTTACCCCAATGTTAATATCATTAAAAGCTATTCATTTTTTATTGCTTATAAATAATTTGTATAATAAGGTATAGATACTATTAAAAAGAATTGTTTTTTTTGCTTAAAAAATACTCAATAAAAATGTCAAATAAATTAAAAGATGTTTGATGCTGAAAATATGTAATTTTGTCCTTTATTAAAAGATTTGTATAACAAGAAAAACTTTTAATCTTCGTTAAAACAATTTGGCATAATAACATCGATGAAGACAGTTACATTCCATTTGCTAGGTTATTATGCGAACAAGAGGCCTTCTATTTTAATGGTCCGAGTGGTGGTCCGTAGTATTTAAAGTGAGAACTAGGTACAAAAAGGGAATAGTGATTCTGTATTCAAAAAAATATAATATTTTCACTTGGCAATTTTAGAACCATGAATAATAATAATAATTAGGGCTCGGACTTAAATGCAATAAAAAACATGTATAAGTTTCAGAACCTTATGAAATTTCTTCATAAAAATACTTTCAAAGTATAAAAAAATCGTAAAAATATTGTTCAAAAAAAATTATATTTTTTAAGAATATATTCTTAAAATATAATCACAGTATACTGTATTTTAAACACAATATTTTGATTAGTGTGATTAGAAAAAATGTTTGGAAAGTCTAAATTAACTTATTCCCTACTTAAACATAATTATTTAAAAAATGACAGGTAATTTCTATAATTTTTGGAGTCCAAACCTTTTTAAAACCTTATATTATGTCGATAAATATTATTATACAAAAACATAAAAAGTAAGACTCATTAGAAATTTTTTGTCTGTAATTAAATGAGTAATCGACAGGCATATTTATTTACCTAATTTTAATAAAAATAAAAGTAATTTTTATCTTACTTAAATATGCTTTTGAGTCTTACAATAACCTAAAAACAATAAAAACCTTAAAAATCTCAAAAAATAAAATTTTTATTTTTGTATTTTCCATTATATAATCAAATTTTGTGTTTGTATTCAATGAAATCCGGTCACCAATAATAATAATATATAATATTATTGTCATAACGATATTACTTGTACATTATTTGAATTTTACAATTTTATTAATACAGTGGTAGTTTTTTATTTGATAAATAGTTACTAACGAGTTACTTATTCCTTCCATTCCCAGTGACATTTTTTTCAACTTTCTTGTTTTTTCTCAAATATAAAATTCGAGGAATGGATTTAAAGGTTATTTTTAAAATTTTCAATCTTGTATTGATATACAACCAGAACATATTTTTTTGACAACTATCTTACCTCATGATATAATATCATATATTTTATATCTTTTCTTAAGTGAATATTTAAATCACCAAAACATTATCATAAAAAGCCATAGGCTATTTCTAACATTCCGCCTATTTATGTTGGAGAGTTGTATAGTGTTTACGTACTACGCCATTGTTGTTACATGGTAAGACACCGCCATGGTTATAATAGCAGTGGATGGAAAACAGGTTCACTGACAACCAATGGTAGAGCTTGGTAACGTACCCCTGTTAGAGAGGGGATGGTCTCTACTTGTTATCGTCAATATCGAACCACAGGATTTTCAATCATAACACGTTCGATCTTTCTTGTGAGTCGTGAGAATTTTTATTTATTAAATTGCGAGTGCTATTTTCCAGAAGTCTTCGTCACGAAACTATTGACCAGTAAGTAAAAACTTAATATTGTATTACTTTTACAAGGATTAAATTGTTACTTGACCGATAATAAAACGTTTATCTATAATTAATATTACTGTTTAATTACTCAATACCTATATTTTTAGCGTTAAGTTTACATTTTGATCTTATCATTTTAAGTATTACTAAATTACTCATTTATTTTTATTTTCCGTTAATAATTAATAATGAAAATCTGTTTAAGTTTTACTTAATTTATTAAGCCGATTTTCTTCTTTTTTTTTTTATTCAATTTTTGTTATTAAGCCACAGATTTTTATTAAAAATTAAAAATATTATTAAAATATTCATTTAAAACAAAAAAAACGTAAAACTTATTTAATAAGCTACAAAATTACTATAAAATTTCTGACACGTTTATCAGAAACAATGTTACTCATATCAACGCTAAGCTTAAACATATTTAGTAGCGTATTTAGAATATTTTCACAGTAATGTTTATTCAAAATAAACATGTTATTTTATAACAAACATTTATTAAACACCACCTTCTCATCTTGGCATTGAAGCTAAAATTATTAAAATTATGATTTTATGTTTTACTAGTTTAAAAAAATAAATAAAATTGATGACGAACTTATATAAATTATTAACAAGGTATAAATTACGTATAAGATACTTAATAATGTACTTCTTAAAGATCTATTTTCAATAAAATTCCTAAATCTAAGAAAATATTTCTCAAATGACCGAATTTTGACTTTAATTTGGCGAAACGTTTAATTCGATCTTTTTCTCATAAGAAGTTAGTTTTCTAAGTTATTTGTGTTTAGTTAATTTTGATGATAATTATATTCTGCTTGAAATATGCAATTCATTTTTGATTGGGCAAAATTGGTTTACTCGATTATTTTTATTAACTTTCATCTATATTCACATCCTATAATAATAATTACGAATGAAGGCTGTACTATTTCTAGAACAATGAACTATCATTTTAAATACTTGGAGATTTCATAATTTTTAATAAGTATCTTTTGTTTTATAATATTTTGTTGTGTAGTATTATTTGAAAAAACAGCACGTATATTAAGTGTATCTAACCAAATTTATTATTTCCGCTACAATTATTGTGTCCAAGTTATAGTTGACTATTCCGAGAATCATACTAAGTATATCTCTTTTTTTTTTACTTAATCGCACATATTGTTGAATGTTCTTATCTTGATGGAATACTTACATAACAAGCATAATTTTCTCGTTTTTTAAGCCCTCGGTGTTACACATATAAGAAGATTTAATATCATAATTTTCATTAGCTATGTAAGGGTAAAAATATTATCAAAGAATACGCGCACACAAATATTTATTTTGTATTTTTTTTTTACAAATTAGTTTATAATTTAAATTTATATTATAGTTATTTTGGATTTATGACTTTTTGCAATTGGACGACTTAAGTATACCTAATATCTCTTGAATAGTGGCGTAATTTTTTTTTAGGAAAATCGGTCTTTCTATGATATTGATTAACTAGATTTTTTAGTAGTATAAAATTATAAAAGTTATATTTTCTTCGGGTTAAGTATTGTTATAAAATACGACTGTTTTTATTTTCATTGTTATGCTGCCTCAAATCACTTTTTTATTGAGATGATAATTTATATTAAATCCTAATTAATATAAATAATAGTTTGTAATCATTATTCATTATTATAGTTAATAAATATACAGTGGCGGTTAAATGATTTTTGATAAAAATAATGGTAAGATTGTGCTGCCACTCCCATCATACCCCTGAGCTTTTTTATTTATATTACTAATAAAGATGTTTTTATTGACTATGAGATATGCATAAATGGCTTACTTCCTTCTAAGCCTATTTTAAATAGTACCCTATTGAACTTATCTATGTATAAATAGCCAAAGCAATTTTTTTATAAATAAAGTAGATATGAAAATAATGCATAAATATCAAAAAGGGAATGTGAAATGGGAGTGATCTATTATCCCCTGTAATTTGATTATTAATAATATAAAAAGTATACTTATTATATATATATAAATAAAGTAAGGAAACGGGTCAGTTATTATAAACAATGTTATAAAGGGAATAAAAATGTTTCCTACGCCAGTTAATCTGCAAACAGTTAATATGAAATTGTTTAATATTTCATATAATTCATATTCATATATTTTTTACAGTGTCTAAACTACCTGAAGTTAAAAATTATGTAAAAGCCATAAATGATTGTAAATCATTTAAGCTCCGCCAGCAAATTTTAAGTGAAATGTTGGATTATGTATCTATTGAAAATCCAGATGCTTTTCTACAAATATTTCGAGAAATGAAAAAACGAGAACTAGATGCCAATGATCCTAACAAAATATCAAAATGGCTTTCCAGTTCAAATGTAAAATTTCATTCTAAATTGTATGAATCACTAATGTTAGTCAAGAGCAATAATATTCTTGCTCAAGAAGAATATTTGGGTAGCTTGAAACAAATGTTAAGTCATACATTATCTACTGGAGATAAACTTGACGAATGTTTGAAAATTTGTAGCTTAATTGAGAAGTTATCATCATTAAGCAAAATTCATGAGTTAGTAATCAATATTAAGTGAAATTTAGTCTAAACTTTTTAATGAGTATTGAGTACTACAAAATATGTTTCATTTTTAGGCCTTTGAGACATCTTATAAACAGAGTGAAACAAATGAAAGACAATAGTTATTTTAATTCAGAACCTAATTTAAAAAATATTTGGGTGAATAATTTTATACAGAAACCCATTCTTGGCAAATTACAGAATAAGATCGATCATCATACATCTCAAATTTGGCCAACATTGATACAATCATCATGCATAAAAACTCCTACTCTTTATAATAACTATTGTTATTTAAATTGTGAGTATACTTAAAAATAAAAAAGATAAATTAAAAAGAATGTTAAATTATTTAAAATTAAATTTTCAGTGGAGTGTTCAGGCACACATTGTACTGAGGTCGATTTAATACAAGCAATGTCCAATTTGACCATAATTGAACAAGATATGAATGAAGTAATTTCTAAATGGCTCCATTACTTAAAACTACATAAGTATCAATGGTTTTTTGAAAACTTAAGCTACTTAGAAATTCAATGCATTGATGAAGACACAATTGAATCATTTATTGCCAAAGTTAACCAAAATTCTATAACAAAAGGTGCTCAAAAGAAAATTTGTATATCGACCAAAGCTCTTCGAGATAGACCTCAAAAATTGAAAGACTTGATTTTAGTAAGACGTTTTTGTTAATAATTTCTATTACATTTTATAGTAATTTTCATTTTAATTTCACAGGCTTATGACTTGGATGTTTCAGCAACAGAAATGAGCGATCATCTGTTGTACATGCGAGATATTCTTCACTACCCTATTCCAAACAAAAATTGTGTTGTAGGAGAAGAAATTCAGGAAGATATCATTCTAGTAATGGAGAAAATGTTAAATTGTTTGCTAGAAACATTGCGATTCACAAAAACTTTAATTTCACAAAGTTTGACTGGAACCTCCATTAACAAGTACCTTGAATGCTGTTTGTTAATATCTAGTAATGCTACATTTAAGGGTAGTCAAGTTGAAAAAATTAATTTTTTTTCAAAATCTTTGAAAACTAAAGTACTTCAAACTCAAAGAAATTTTCATGTATAAAAAAATAATTGTAATAATTATTGGATTTTTTTTTTATGAATTTTTTTTTTTTAGAACATGTACAACTTTAATATTGTGAATAATTTTTTATGAGATATGATTAATAGTTTATTAAGTTATTATTGCATTTTAAGTCTATTGGTAAATAATATTTTATTTTAAACAATTTTATAAATATTTTTATTTTAATAATATATAGTTTTATGTGTGCTCCTTGTGATATTACTTAATCCACCTTTAGTTCTTTTAAAATTATACCACTAAGTATTAAATTGTGGTGGCTTTAGTTATAAATTGTTACTAAAAGAATTATTTATAGATGTGGGGGGATTGATATATATTTATTATTGCAGTAAAAGAAAAAAAGATTGACTTTATTTAAGCTTAAATCAAATTGAAGTACACCTTGCCCATGTAATTTTTAGAAATAAAAATTGTTGTTTTTTGTTTATTTATTACTATATTTGAACATATGTTTTGTGAATTTTTGTTGAATATATCCTATTCTAACACTCCTTGCCCATTACTTCATTAGTGTAAATGAGGGCAAGGTTTATGTAAAATAGAGTGATAAATAGGACTAATATATTTGTATTTCAATCGTATTGAGAATTCAAAATATGTCTATTTTTTAATTAAAACTGCTATAATTAATTCATAAATAAAATAGAGTATTAATAAACTTCCAATGGTTTGTTATATATCTGACACGACCAAAAAAAGGTTATTGCTAAGCCAATGACTTGTTCTAATACCATAGAATCATTCTGATGGCCATTATTAGTTTTGAAGAAATTGCAACCAACCTGAAATTTTCTAAGTCTGTTAATGATTATCAAAGTATTATAATATAGGATTTAAAAAGTGAAGGAATGTTCAAGTTCATAAAAGTTTTAATAGTTACCACCATGTTGGTATTTGATATAAAACATGATAGTGATAAGGGATCTGTTAAGTAAATATATTGATAAAAATTTCAGTAATTATTAGTGATTGTTTATTTTTAATAGAGTTTAATTATTATCAGTGTAGTGAAAAATTAATCATTGAATGATTATTATTGATTAAAATGTATTGTGTTCCTATTTGGCTTAATAAAATTCAAGACAAGGAGAAAAGTCCACAATGGTATTTTCAAAAACATAATTAAATTTATTATAATTTTTATTTATTTAAACAATTAAATTCTATATTTAGTTTACTATTAAATTAATCAGTTAAAAAATAGGGTTAGCATACTTGGATGGGGTTGTACATATTAGTGATATAAATTTTAAACAATTTATATTATGAAGTTTTTATATAACATTAAAATTGTTTTTCAAGGGTAGTTTATTTACTGCAGCATAGGCATGGAGGGGTTGTGTATTTATATTTTTTAATTCAGTTACTTGAAATTAAGTTGAAATGGTAAATGCTTTAAAAAAATTTATTCAAACTACAAGTGGTATAACTACAATTTATTTGCGAAGGGGGAGTTTAAATAAGAAAATGTTTGTTTTCCTCCCCTCCTTTGCATGAAAATTATGTAATTTTGTTTGGTTCTGGGAGGAGTTTTTATCTGGCAACTGTCTGGTAACACGCCAGTTGGTTGTGAATTGTTTTCATGTAAAATAGTATTATAAAGAATGTTTAGAATGTAAGAAAATAAGTTAATTGTTACAAATATGGGAACAATTAATATGCTTTCCCTTAATTATTTAACACCTTTTATTTTAAAATAATAAATATAAGAGCCGTTTTTGTTTAGTGGAAATTCTATTATTAACCTGAGTGGTTTTTTAAAGAAATATTAAAAAGATGATTTTTTTTTCTATCAACATTTTTTATTAACTTAATAGTCAATTAGTTGAAAAATTATAATTAAATTTGATTTTTAGAATTTTTTTTTTACTCCAATTTCAAAAAATATTTTTTTTTAAGATTTGATCTTATGACTTCCACTAGTTTTTTAAAATAATTAATAGGTTTATTTAAATATATTTTTACTATTATTATTAAACTATAATGATTATGTTAATACTTTACAAATTAATAAACTTAATAAATAAATTTTGTTACAGTATTTACAGTTTGTGTTATAATATTGATGGGTCACAATTACTTGTTACTGCAGCTCAAGATATTCTTGTTTACAGATCTATTGATGGATACCTTTTACGAACTTTGAAAGGTATTTTAATTAAATTATGTTAAAAATCTATAAGAGTTTTGAATAGAAAAAAAATTATAGTTATTGTTCCAGAGAAAATTAAAAAGAAAATATTGAAAATAATCTAATCAATTCATAAAAAAAATATCTGATAACTTAATATTAATTTTTAATAGTTTACAAAAATTAGTGTTTTATCCTTAATTGATATCCCTGTTCTTTTTTTTCAAATTTAAAAATATCCCATATGTGTATTATATTTTATTTTTTATTTATCCATTAGGCCATAAAGAAAATATTTTTTGTTTAACAAATTCTTCAAATGGTCATTTCTTTGCTTCTGGAGCTGCGGATAAATTAGTTATTCTTTGGACTTCTAAATTTGAGCCGCTAGGAAAGTACAAGTAAATTTGATTGAAAAACTTAAAATTAATAAGTCAAAAATATATAAATAGTATATTAATAGGTTTATGTTTTTTAGTCATAATGATGGTGTTCAATGTATGGCTTTTAATCCAGTTAATCACAATGTGTTAAGCTGTAGTTCATTCGAATTTGGACTGTATTATCTAGAACAAAAATCTGTTCAAAAGTTCAAAACTTCACATGGAATTAACACATGTGCTTGGTCTTCTGATGGCCAATCATTTGCATTAGGGTTTGATAATGGTAATATTTCTATTTGTAATAATATTGGAGAAGAGTTTGCCAGTGTTGAAGTTGAAAATGGGCATTCAGTATGGGCTCTTACTTGGTTACTTCCCAGGTATTTTAGTTATTAAAAATAATTTTTCATTTCTACGATGAAAACAAATTTTACTTATTAAATAAATATTTTAGAAACTATGAAGGGGAAGAAGAAGAAATATTGTGTGTTACTGATTGGGGGAAACATTTATCGTTTTACAAAAATGATGGAACTGAAGTAAAATTATTCTTATTTGTTTTTCTTATTTATTGTTATAATTTTATAAACTCAAATATATTTATGTTTGTTATATTATAGATATCAAAGAAAAAAAAAATAGAATTAGAAGCATTAACCATAAGAACATTATGCAATGATTTATATTTATTAATTGGTGGGTGCAAGGGAAAATGTTTTATCTATTCTAGTGATGGAATTAAACTTACAGAGTTAGAAAATAATCAAAGTTGGATTTGGAGTTCAGTAGTACACCCGAGTTCAACATATTTGGTAAGTTGTGTGGCTATACTTTACTAGAAAGTAAACCATAGGTAAAAGTTTATTCATAAATTATTATGAAATTTTTTTAAGATGCTTAGAATATAGTAAGATCAAATCAATTTAAAAAGTCTTGAGAAATTTTTGCACATAATTTTGAAATATAGTCTATTTTCTGAATTAGTCATTTGGAAGAATAATGTATTTGATTTACTAATATTTTTTGTTTATATTATCATTTACAGGCTATAGGTTGCCAAGATGGAACATTAGCTTATTATAAAATTGAATTTAGTGTAATACATGGACTTTATCAAGAAAAATATGCGTTCAGGTATTATTACGATTTATGGTAGCAGCACCTGTAGAGTGCACAAGAAATTTGATTGTTTACACTTATTTGTGGTTGTGGTTCACAAAATCTTACATACTATCACTGCATAAAGTCTTAGTCATTATTTTAAATTTTATTTGGACAATTTCATTCTTCTAGTATGGCCAGGTGACTTGATTAATGATCGAATATCTATATATTTTATTATTTTTAGACTTTATTAACAAATATGATTAGTAGTATTTTTGAGAATTTTATAATCTATGTATCTTTATTATTTGGTGTATTATTGTAAAATCAGTAAAACTTTGTTAAGATTGAATTGCACACTTTTTTTTAATCCTTTATACTTATATATTGTGATCCACTATGTCTCAAACAATATTTTTAAATGTTTAAGATAAAATATCAATTTTTCTGTCAGAAGTTATTAGTATCTTACCCATTTCAGTAATACAAAAAAATTATATTTTTATCCTCTCTTTAATTCCTTTAAAATTGTATCAACTTTAATTTTTTAGTAGAAACATACATGCTTAACTATATTAAAAATAAGAAAATGATTTAACTAAAAAATGAGTGATTTAAATTAATTTTTGAACTATTTTTAAAAGAAATATTATTTTTACATTGTTACGAGAAAAAACCAAAAGTGATACAATTTCTAGGATAAAAAAGGGAATAGTACTATATTTTTAGTGATAATTAAAGTGGGTTGGGATACTAATAACTTGTAAAAAGGAAAAAAAAAATTACCTAATACTATTGAAAATATTGTTTGAAACATAGTTAGCAAATCATGCTGTATAACATTACAATCATTACATTTAATTAGCTCATTCTTAACAGGTATTCCTGCATAATATATCTTCTTTTCTACCTTTTAAACCTTTAAATATCAAAAAATTTCTGCTTAATATGTAAATAAAAATTCTAACTATCTTATCTTCTTCTTCTTCCTCGCCTTAATCCCAACTACTTGGGGTTGGTCACCCTTATCCTAAACTTTCACTTGACACGATTTCCCACATCATCTACGCTCACATCAGCTGTCCTCATATCGCATTTAATAGCATCCCTTCATCTCTTTTTTGGTCTTCCTCTACATCTTCTTCCTTCACACATTCATTTCTATAACTGTTCTTACAGATTTTGATTCTTCTCTCCTCATAAGATGACCATACCATCTAATTCTATTTTCTTTCATCTTATCCACGATTGACGCTACACCTATACTCCTTATTTTATGCTCATTTCTTATCTTATCTTCTCTAGTCACTCCACTCATCCATCTAAGCATTCTCATCTCTGCTACTCATTCTCTGCTCTACTTTCTTATCAACCATCCAACACTCTGAACCATACATCATAGCTGGCCTTATTACAGTCTTGTAGAATTTATCTTTTAGCCTCATTGGAATTCTTTTATCGCATAAGACGCCAGATGCTTCTCACCACTTCAACCACCCACACTTAATTCTGTGTCTTACATCCTCGTCAATACCACCACTCTTTTGTACAACTGACCCCAAATACTTAAAACTGTCCACCTCTCCAATCACGTCCTCGCCTATTGTCACTGGTCACCTTATTTCACCTACCTCGTGTTCTCCTTTATCAAACTCGTACTCTATATACTCTGTCTTAATTCTACTTATTCTTAAACCCTTTTCTTCAAGAACTGATCTCCACACCTCTAGCCTTTGATTGATTTCCTCCCTATTTTCTCCTATTAACACTATATCGTCAGCAAACAACATGCATCACGGCACCTCTTCTTGTATTTTTCTAGTAATTTTATCCATCACTATAGAGAATAAATAAGGGCTTAAAGCAGAACCTTGGTGCACTCCTACTCTTACCCGAAAACCTTCTGATACTCCTCCTATGCTTTTTTTCTGGTACGGGTACCATCATACATATTTTCTATTATATTGATGTACCTTTTCTAACTCCTTTTTTCATTAATGCCAACTTTAATCTTATCTAAATTACTTATCTGATTTTTAAATCACGTAATATAGACTGTGTAGGTTGTCATATTAAAAGCATTAAAAGAATATTAGAGGATAATTTTAATAATGATATTCCATATAACACGATATATAATAATTTTCCCTTTTAGAGTATTTTTAATGAATTTTTATTGTAAATGTAAATTATTGTTTTAAAGAATTATAAAATAATACAAAATTTGAAAATTATTTCTATTATATGGTACAAATAATAGTTAATAGTAAAACATAATTCTATTACATTATTTAGTATATTCTACCTAACTAAGATTACCATGCATTTTTATTATAAATTGTAATATAGTTTCTTAAAAATTATACAAAAATTTTATACTATTTTTTAATTTTTATTTATTTATTTCCTTTTTAACACGCTTATATTAGTTTCACTTGTATGTTGTTTGTTTGTAAGTTTGTAACTCCACGCGGCACGTGTTATTATGTCGCGTATCCCGTCGTGTATGACCTTGAGACTATACTGTTGTAACGCATTCGCCCCACCCCGCTCACCACTCGTAGAGAACAATATTTTCCAACCCGTAGACGCGCGCTTATCATCAATTATATATATATATATATAACAAATTTTTATTGTAATTGACACAGCCCCGCGTCGTTTTACGCCGCGGTGCAAAGTCCAGCAAGTGCCGCACGGCCGACGACGTCCCGCCGCTATACCGTAGTCTTCTTCTCATTGTCAAAATAACATCGTCAACAAACTGATCCGCACTCGCGCACCGTCGTTATCTACGCTGCTAACCTTTTGACGCCCGAGGATCACGCCGGACATCGCGTCTTCGACGCCAGCAAAAGTGCCGCGATATTATGCGAAGATTATATATTCCTACCGCCACCGCTAATATTAATATATATATTAATATTTATACGTATATACGTATATGTTAATATTCATTTATATATTCCTACAGCCGACGCCTCTGCCGCCGTATATGCCTCGTGTATAATGTTCCCTCCGCCATGCCCGCCCACATAAACACGGCTATACCTCATGCATGATACGTTTACGTACTTAAGTCCCTTTAAATATATATATATTCTAATTACTATTAAAACATATATTAATACACTTTATTCTCATTAAGAGATATGTAGTGTATTCATTCCGATTACGGAGGATGATTCTCGTATCGTTATTTTTCGTCACTACCTCCACGTTACGCGCCTGCTGCTTTCCTTGGATGTGGTAGCCGTTTCTTAGACTCCCTCTCCGGAATCGAACCCTTATTTCCCGTTACCCGTTACAATCATGATATTGATATTAACTACTATCATAACATGAAACTAAAAAGTGAAAAATAAATATAGTTTAAAGAACTAAAAAACACGCTTTTAAAGCACATCGAACTAAAAAGTTAAAAATAATTTTTAAAATTAACTTAAAACAATAATGAACGAAAAATACTAGTATTATTGTGAAAAAAAGCGTGGGTTTTATTTATTTATTTCCTTTTTTACTTGCAATAGTAGCAAATAACACTTTAAATAAAGTATTCTTTATAAATTTTGGATCTTATATAAAAAGAATCTTGTATATTGTCATGAAAAAAATATAAAATGTATTATTGTAGAAAGCAATTTATGGTGTTATGTAGAAATATTTTTTTTTATGTTTTAGTGTAATGTTTTAATATAATTTTAAAATACATTTAAAATATAATCAATTTAAGCAAAAGAATTAGTTTTTATGAAATATAATATTTCAATTTTCCATGAAAAGTAAGTTTTTTAAAATTAATTCATGATTACATTTTTAATGTATTTTAAAGTTATAAAATACAAAAAAAAGAATGCTGACCTTGCCAAGCAATGCTTCAATTATTGGTTTCTATTTTAAATAATAATACAATTGAACACGTTAGTATATAATATATACTTGCTATGTTATATTATAACCTAAATTAAAGTAATTTTTTCCTGAATAAAATATCATTGAAATTTTAATTCAATGAAAAATTAAAGTTGCCATGTTATTATACTGATGCTTTCAATTAAAACATGTTCTTTTTTACGTTTAGCCACTATTTTATGAAAAAAATCCAAGTTTGTTGAAAAGTATGATTTTTAAATGTAAAACTCATTGTTTCAGGGAAAATATGACTGATGTGGTTATTCAAGATTTAATATCCAATAAAAAAGTTAAAATAAAATGCAGAGATTTAGTGCAAAAAATTGCAATCTATAAAAATCTTTTAGCGGTAAACAATTAAATTAAATACAATTGATCAATTATTAATAAATCTATTAGAGCAATTTTCTTAGCTGAGATGGTTATAAAATAATTTTAATTTATTTATTTATTATGTAAAGTATAAATAATTAACTGTAAAAAAATAAAATAAATTAAAAAAGTGTATATTTGAAAGTATGGAAATAAGACAATTATAATTATAATTTTGATTAAAAAAAATATAGTTAATTTTTAAAAAGAAAAGTTTAAATTTCAGGTGCAATTATCTATGAAAATTATAACCTATGAACTATCTTCTATTCAAGCTCCTGAAATGCATTATAGGGTTAAGGAAAAAATGAATGAAAATACTATGTGTAATTTACTTGTTGTTTGTTCTAATAATTTAGTATTATGTGATGTAAGTGATTCAAAACATTTATCTATATAAATCCACATTACATTGTATTTTTAAATAAAAAATTATCATATTTAGGAAACAAGGCTACAATGTCTATCACTTACTGGGGCTTTTATTCGGGAGTGGAATGTAGACTCTGTTGTCAAATACTTAAAAGTCATAGGCGGATTTGCTGAAAAGGAACAAATTCTTGTTGGTTTAGACAATGGACAAGTATTAACATTATTACTAGTTTGTGATTTGGGTTGAAAATTTGTGTTAATAATAATTAAATTATCTCTTAAGGTTTTAATGTTAAAAATAAATAGTTCTAAAGTAAACTTACTATTTGATGTAACAAAAAGTGTACGATGTCTTGATGTAAATATATCAATGGATAAAATTACTGTTGTTGATAGTGAAAATAAATGTTCGTTTTTTGATATACGTTCTAAAAAGTTATTACATCAGGTATTATAAACATTTTTAAAATTAATTTCACTAGAATCCTGCAAAGGCCATACTAGTTAGTTTGATCAGGTTAAATTTTTTGAACAAACTGAGCTTGTAATAAATATTTGGGCTATAAACTTCTCTGTTGCTTTTCTTTATTCATATAGTTACAAAAAACTATTACAATAAATTCTCATCATTTAAGTTAATATTTATTTAAATTCTTCATGCATACAGATTAGATGTTGTTTATCTCAATTGTAATTAATATATGGTAATTCAAGTTTTTATGAAACTCATTACATAATGTTTGTTTTAATAGCCCCATCTTTTAACAGCTAAAGAATTTTTTATTTTCTACAAGTTGATTTTTCACACTTGGAATGGGCTGTGCTGGTCAACTAGAAATTAATATTAAAGACTACACAAGTAAAAACTAGCTAGTGCATGGTTTTAGCCCCTACCATAAATTTGCATGATTTTATTACAAAATTTATTGTGTTTAGGAATTAGAAATCACAAGTGTTTCTTGGAATTCCAAATTTCCTGACATGGTGTGTTTTTCTGGAAGAAATATATTTAACATAAAAGTGAATAATTTTCCAGCATATCAGCAAAGAATTAATGTTAGATAAGTTTCTATTGTTTTATTTGTACAATATTTAATTTATAAAATCTTCCAGGGACAAATAATAGGTATGTATGGATCAAAAATCTTTGCTCTTAATGAATCATTTGTGTCTGTTGTTGAAGTTGCTCTCTCTGTACCACTTTATCAATATTTAGAAAAGAAGCTATTTAGGTAAGAATATAAAACTCCAAAATTTATAAATTGCTAATATAAGAATATAGCAAAATACAAATACTTTATTGCTAAAACAGCCAAAATATTCCTAATAATATTAGGAACAATGATTTTGTTTAAGATAAAATATAATGTATTGTATCTTTTAAAAATCGTGAAATGAATTTGTTTAATAATACTTTATTAAAAATATATTACTACATATTCTAAAAACTTAAAATTTTGATTAGATTAATTTAGATTAAATAAATCTAATTAGATTAATTTAATAAAAATATTTATTTTTTAGTCAGTCATATCGAATAGCATGCCTGAATGTTACTGATTCAGATTGGAAAATATTAGCTCGAGAGTCTTTGGATAATTTTAATTTTCAAATAGCTAAAAAAGCATTTGCACATATTAAAGAAATTAAATATATTGATCTTATAACACAATATGAAGTAATATCATTTAAAGCTTTAGGGTCTTTATTTTATGTTTCATAGTATTACTTTTAATTATAGGATATGGGGTCATATAATGATAAAGATAAGTATTGTCTTTTAGCTGATATTTTAGCTTACGAAGGAAAGTTTAAAGAAGCTGCTAGAATTTATCAAAAATGGGGATATGAGCACAAAGCATTTACTATGTTTACAGATTTAAGAATGTTTGATATGGCTCAAGTAAAAATTTTGCATATAATACAAACCGGGTTGTATTAGGAATTATGTGCTGCTCGTATAACAAATTATACTAACCCATGAAAGATACTAATGTTCTATTTTCTTCATGTATAATCTTAAAAAAAATGCCTTCAATGATGAAATTTATGAGTTAACTGGTATATAATAGTGACCTCCCAAAACAGCACATGAACCCAATGCTCCTTTTTAAATGCTCTTCTGAATACAATAAATATATATTAAAGTAATAAAAATTTAGGAATTTATTAGTATTAACTCTTCAAAAGAAAGCTTTGACTTGACAATTAAACGAGCTGAATGGGCTATGAGCATAGAAGAGTATAAAGTAGCTGCAGAGCTCTATATTTCCGCAGAAGAATATGTTCGAGCTATTGATATCATGGTACAAAATTGTTGGACAGAAATGTAATGTTTATATTTATGTATTGAATAATATCCCGTTAATTTAATTTTGTTACTGAATTACACTTCTATTAAATTAACTATTCAACAATTATCAATTAAATTTATATTTTTTAGGTTACTACAATTGGGAAGACAAATTGATAAAGCTGAAGAAACTATCTTAGGTAGAATTGGTGATGAGCTACGTAAATTAGGTGATGTTGATAGTGCAGCAGAAATGTATTCAAAAATGGGTAAAGGAGCAGGACCTGATATGGTGACTCTACAAGTAGAAGCTCACAATTGGGATCAAGCATTTTTATTGGCAGAAAAAAATCCTAATTATGCTCCTCTTGTATATTTACCATATGCTGAATGGCTAGCTGAAAATGATAAATTTATAGATGCACAGAAAGGTTTGTATTTATACAGTAGTCTCTCTTTATGTCAAGGGGAACAAAAAAATTTTGAATTATCAAAAGATTCTAGATATTGAGTTTTAATAAAAATAAAAATGGTTTATAAAATTTCTGTAAAATAAATATATAATGTTAAATTAATATTTTTTAAAATAATTTATCATTACAGTTAGTTTTTTCATGCTTCTCTCTTTGATAATGGTTTCTAATATTGATAAAGAAGAAAAAGTACTATCTTCTATCCTTTACTATTTTCAATAAAATATCCGAGTGTGTTTATTGCTAACTTAGCTTATTTTATAGAAACTATAGTGACTTCCTCTTTTTGTAGTTCATCTTCACTATTGCTACTTTCAGTCCGTAATATTGATAGCTTCCTATAAGATTTCATTATCTTATTTGTGTTCCACACACTTGTAAATCATTGTTTACTTCTAAATATTCAGTATACATTTTACCATCTAATTAAAGATGATCTGTAACAAATTTTTTATAGGGATGACAAAGTCATCCAAGTCTTTTTTTATTTGACTACTATAGTCATAGTATAAACACTATGATTATACCTACTGTAAAGTTTCCTATTATTCCCATGGTAAAATTGTTATTTGTGTAATTGACATAAGATTAAGTAAGTAAGATTATGAAATAATGAAATAACTATTAATGTTATCTAGAGTTATCGAGAGAAAACATTATTGTGTAATGGTAGTTTCAAGGGGATTTCATTGCAGTTCAAGATAATGATATTCCACGTGAAGAATTTACTGTATTATGTATAAATATAAATGTGACACAATGGTGTCATGTATGTTATGGGAGTCTGGATTTATTAGAAAATTAGAACTGCAAAATTAAATAATGGTTAATGAGTAAAAACTGTAATAGTCATATTAATATATTTGTGTTTTTGCATAAAGGTGTATTTAAAACTTCATTTCAAGGGAGGTGATACTAAGATAGGCCAATTCCCTACTACTAAAAAAAATGTAGACATCAAAATAAATGTATTTTGCAGGAAGAAAGCCCCTATCCCCCTCAAATATACTATTGTTTTTTCTGTAGCACCTAGTTCATAAAAATTTGTACAAATAAGCTTATTTAAGCCGTCATTTGCAATTCTAATTAAACAATAATATTAATGAATTATATTATTGTCAAATCTAAATTATAGGAGTTTCATTTATTTTGTGTATCCTATGATACATAGTTTTTCTATTTACTATCTAAAAATTTCAGTAACTCAATTTTAAAATTAATAATGTTGATTTATTTTATTAATTTTTAGCATTCTTAAAAGGAGGTCAACCTGAAAGAGCATTTAAAGTATTAGAAATTTTAACTGAAAATGCTGTTGATGAACTCAGATTTCATGATGCAAGTTACTATTATTGGTTACTAAGTCGACAATGTTTGAATATAGCATCAAATAGGTAAGAGTTACATATTATTTAATTCAAAATTTTTGTAATTGTATAAAATTAAATATTTATTTAATTTTTTCAGTGAAGAAAATGTTAATGATATTATAAATAATTTTTGTTTGTATGACAAGTATGCTACTATATACTATGCATATAATATCATTCATCGATACATGGTCAGTTATTTATTTATTGAGAAATAATTTATCAGTAGTAAAATAGGATGAGCGTACATAACTCAGTGTGGGTTAAATTCACATAGAGTCATTTGATAATACTCCTTTTATTTTTATTATTCAGTTACTTAAATTATTTTTTTTTTAATTTTTAATTAATATATTATGGCTGTCTGATACTTTTGTATTATCATAAATTAGTGCTTTTTGGTTGTTAGAGTTATAGAATATTATAAATAGTTACTTGTATTACTTTGTGTACAAAATACATTGTATTATTGTATGCTAAGTGGGAAAAAATGTATTTTAAATGTGATATGGTTTTATACTTAGTTAGATAACATAATATAAAATTGATAGTAAACTGTAACAAACTTAAATAATTTATTTTGGTCATTTGCTTACTAAAAAAATCATAACTATAAATATTTATTGTCAATTGTAGGAAGATCCTTTCATGTCTTACCAACCAGAGACATTATTTAATACATCATGTTTTCTCATGAATGAAACAAAAGAAATAAAGCCAAAAGGAGTTTCAAAATTGTAAGAAATTTATTACTTATAAATATTACAAGTTACTATTTAAAGAATTGAGAATATACAAATATTTACCATCATAAATAATAGATATGTATATAGTAATATTATTACTGTGTACAATTCTTTATAAAGGCCATTAGTTGCTAACTGGTTACTTTATTGGGTAATCCACATTAGTTCTTATACCAACATTAATTTTATTATATTTTTTTCTTTAAAATATTATTAATTTTTAGCTTCGATGCGAAGCTGAGAAGGTATTGGTTTTACTAAGATGTATTTTTTTTTTTTTGTGTCTGTTACCACTTTTTTTCAGCTCTCACCGAATCGATTTCTTTCAACAATACGTCAAAAGATCACAAATCTTATCTAGTCGAAAACATTACCCTCAAAAATTAAAAAAATTTCCCTCGTTCCCCGTAAATGGGGGAAACCTCCAAAAAATTACAAATTTTAAAATCGCTAATTTTCGAAATTTTTTCAATTTTTTTTACTTAAAACTGCCATAAATTTTCCAATAATGAACAAAGCAATTTTTATATATTTTTTTTATAGATGCTTGATGTCTTTACCTATCATTTGGTTAATTTTTTTTTATAATTCTGACCCTTAACCTGCCCACGGGGAGGAGATTTAAAATGACAACTTTTTCACAAAAAATTTACTTTTTCAACTTAACTTTTGAAAGTGTTCCAGTAAGTCTGACACTTTTATATATATATATATTAAATTTGATTTATTTAATTATGGGAAAAAAAAATTTCGGACTTTATTTTGTCTTCATGGTGAAAATGGCTACCAAATTTTTGGTGAAAATTGATGGCTATTTTTGTGTGAAAATTCTCGATTTTATATTTTAAATTTTAAACTATATTATGCTATAACTTATTGAAAAGTGTATGGATCAATACAATTTTTTTATGAGAAATAATATTTATATCCCTCTTTCATTTGACATACTTTATCTTAATCAGGATATTAATAAGGAAATAGCAGGTCATGTAGCTTTTGGAATAATCAATCAATTTTTTAAAATTAAACATTATCTAAAGATTTGCATCAAAGCATTTTTTTTTTTATAGTGATTTTAAGATATTTTGTCAGATATCATTATACTTGATCCAACTATGCCACGTCACCACTGTGCTGCGTCCCCCTGTGCTGGGTTGTTTATAAATAAGTTTGCTATTTGATATAATTCAAAAAAGCTAATTAATTTTTATACTAATTTTGATCATTTAGTAAATATTTATTTATTGTGTATAAACAATATCTTTTTATTTTATAACATGAAGTTAAAATATGAAAATTTTATTAATTGGTTATTAACAACTTTTCTAGTGCCATTTTATACACTTTATCAAAACAAGCTTTAAATATGCAAGCCTATAAATTAGCTAGACATACTTTAAATGAATTAAAGAAGTTAAGAATACCAAAAAAATTTCAAGTAACTAGTTTTTTTAAGCAAAACAAAGTACATATTTATGTTTGATTCTTTTTCTCTTTAGAATTTTGTGGAACTTGCTACACTTAGTATTCGAGCAAAACCATTTCATGACAATGAAATCTTATTATTAATGTGCTATAGGTGTTTAACATATAATCCACCTGGAATAGAAAATTGTGTGACGTGTAAACATAAGTTCATATTTTCTAACATTAAATTTGGTTTGTTATTTCATTTTAAAATTGTATACTTTTTTTTAAATAATAGTTTTTTTTAGATGTATTGCCACTTATTGAGTTTAAAATAGAAGATAATATATCAGATACAGAAGCTGTAAAATTAATACAAAGTTTTTATTCTTCTATGAATGATCAAGAACAAGAATCACAGATTGTTAATAATTATATTTTAAATGAGGGAGAACATGATACTTCCATTGATCCATTTACATATAAACTTATGAGTTTTGAGGTAAATGTTCAATAAATACCCCGTTTAATAAATAGCACTTGTAAGTTCCACTGTAATTTTATAATTTTCTATGTGACAACATTTTTAAGGTTTCCAATTCTTTTTTAGTTATTCCTCAAATATTATTTTGTCTTTCTTGTAAATAGTGATTAAAATTAAACTGCTTCTTACATATGACTATTGTCTTACAATGCATATTTACCATTTGTATGAGCCATACCTTATATTTAAAAAACACTTTAATAAGTATAATATTTTAGACACATTTTTGAACGATCTTAGTTATAGTATTTATTGCTTTTATGACATAAGAATTTACAATTTTCTAATTTAGGAAGTCAACCAGTCTTTAGCAATTTTTATAGTACTTATAGAGTATAAATAATATATCATAGAGTTAATAATAAGGTTAAAAAATGTAAGTTTTCATAAAAATCCCTAGAATCAGTTAAATAAAAAAAATAATTGCTAAAAAATGTAATAAATTATTATGGTGTATCAAACACAATTATCAGAAACTTCTATGATGCCCATAATAGATACTATTATCTTATCATAAGAGTTAACAATACCTATCTATTATCTTAAATGAAATTTCTCATTTATGGTGGGATGTATACCAAATATATTATATTTGTAGAAAGAAGATACTGCCCATCATTCAGTTGTTGTGAATAAAGCAACATTAGAATCACTGGATATTAATAGTGTAGTTGTATGTAAATGGCCAAAACCTTTAAAATTTAAATATTATAAGAACCTTTTACCTGGATTTTCAGTTACAAGTTGTGAAAGTTGTTTTAAGGTAATATTTAAAGTTATTAAAATTATAATACATCACAAATATTATAATAATAAAATAATATTATTCTTTAATATTCTATAAATCTTTTGTTTTAGATGTTTCATTCTGATGAGTATGAAATTGAAGTATTACGACTAGGACATTGTCCATTTTGTAGAACTCCTGATCTGAGAGTATTAGAAAAAAAATAATATAAAATTTATAATTATGGTTATTATATCAATTTTATAAAAAAAGCTATTTTGAGGATAACAATTAATAAAATAAGTAGCAAGTCATATTTTATATAGTGTAAAAACTTCAAAGATAGTTAATGTAATTTTCTTTTTAATTTTTTATTAGCCAATTTATATTTTTTATACATGTAGGGTGTCCTACCAGGTTTTAAAATCATTAATAACTATTGATCCAGTGAATATTGTATTATTTTCAAAAAAAATTATTTTTGTAGTTTTGGACTACATTAAAAGCATATTTTTTATTATGTGTCTTAAATTAAAATTTTTGTTTTTCAATTTTATCAAAATTTACAAAAAGTTATGATAATAATTTTAAAACAAATAATTATTGAATTAAAAGTATTTTAATAAAAGTGGGTAGTATTTTACATATATATCAGTACGAGCTGTACCCACCGGTGCTATTTAATTACTCTATTTATAAAATGCTTATAACTCAATGTGATTTTTAGTTTAAGAATGCATTAATTATTTTTAAAAATTGCAATAAAATTATTGTATTAAAGTTATAATCTAAGAATTGTCAGTTGGATCTGTTTCACTCTGTACATTAATGTGGTGGATTGGGGATTGTAGACACTCCACATCTTTGTGGGGTTACACAATTTTAACACTCCTTAGATTTTTACAATAGTTGTGCCATTGATCAAAAAACCCCTCGTAATTGTCAAGCCAGGTCGCCATTGATTATTTCTGTGTTAGATAAAATGCAAAATAAAAGTAATAAAAATAATTTTAGTATTAACCCTCCCAGTTCTCATTCTGAAAAATGCTGGGTACCCACTTATAATTGATATATTGTTAGATATTGAATGTAACATTAGTATTTCTTAAAAAGATGAACTTTTCAATGTATAATTTTGTATGGGTTTGAAAAAAAATTGTTATGATTTATTAGTATACCGAGTAAGTAATGCTGAATACGGGGTACTTAGATCAAAGGGGAGTATTTAAAACTAATTTTTACTTGGGAAAGCATACTAGAGAAAAAGTTTTTGATAAAAACCAAAGTGATGACTACAAAAAAATATCTATAGTGCTATAATATGTGAATATCGACTTTGAAAAAATATTAGTAGTGCTGGTGAAGGGGAGGAAATCACCTTCTCCATAAATACATCCGAAAATTATGCAGTCAATAGTATTTTATAAGACAATATTCCAGTCGAACAAAACTAATTCTAAAAATATTTTAGCTTGATCCATGAAAAATATAATTGAAAAAATATTTGCCGACATATATTTTTTTCGAATAAAATCTATTATTATTTAAAATATAATGATTAAATTAAAATTTATTGGTCAATGTTGATAAGATTTATAGAATCTTAGTAGTTATTTTTAGAGTTAAATTTATTTTATTATAATTTCCATTACTTGTTAATAGTGTGAACAGATATTTTTCACGGGGAAAAAATAGAAAATATTTCTTACAGTTTTAATATTTTAATGAGTTAACTGCTAGTAAACTAATGATTAAAAAGAAATAATACCAGGAATTTCGCTCTTCTAGAAAAAACCTTTTTGGTGTTCATGTTTAAAGCAAAATTATTTTTGTCATGGGTTATAACTTCCTAGTAGGGAATATTTTTTTAATGATAGTGATAGTAATCATTTTCAAAATCTATGCTGGTTCCACAATACTGCACTTCCACTATTGGTCAAAACAACTGGTTTTTTCTTATATTTACTTAAACACTATTAAAAATTGCAATTTAAAAGATAAGGATAAAGAAACTACCCACAGAGCAATTTAATAATGTTAAAGTAATATTGTTATTAAATTAATTTTAAAATAATAACATTAGTTTAATTTTAAGAGGTTATTAATTTTGATTACATAAATATTATAATATTACCCTATATCAATGAACAAATAAAAATATCAACATTTATTAATGAACATTTAAAAAATAATATTGGTGTTAAGTTATTATTATATTTACTTCAGATCGCTGTAATACATGGTCATATAACATTTTTGTAATATTGTAGTATTATTACAATAGGATACCAATTTGAAAAAAAAAATTTATTGAATGGCAATATTAAATTATATTCATGTATTTCTTCTTCTTCCTCGCCTTAATCCCAACTACTTGAGGTCGGCCACCCTTATCCTAAAATTCCACTTGACACGATCTCCCACATCCTCTATGCTCACATCAGATGTCCTCATATCGCATTCAATAATATCTCTCCATCTCTTTTTTGGTCTTCCTCTACCTCTTCCTTCAACATTTATTTAATAAATTTTAAAAAATAACTATTAATACCCAACACAGTGGGATTGTGACACAATACTGACATGGTATAATTGGAACTAAATAATACGGTAACTGCTCTCAACTTTTTCATTAATATTGTGAACAGATTAATAACATCATTATTAAAATTATAAACTTGTGTTTTTAAAAATAACATTTATATATTTGTTTTGAATTTCATTATATTATTAAATGTAATAATTATTATGATTCTATGAATGCGATTATTAATTAGAAGAATACCATTTCAATAATCTCGTATTTATGTTAAATACAATTGTTCATTTATATTACAATTTTGTTTATTGATATCACAAAATAGTTCAGAATTAGGATAAAGAACTTAAAGCACAAAAAATAACCTAAATAAAGAAGCACTATGCACTTAAAAACCTAAAATATGCACTTGGATTTTTTAATAAATATGATTACATCATATATAGTGTAAATGAATCACGGATACGGATCATGCTAATAACTAATAATTTGTTCGTAAAACAAAATGTTTTGTTATTTCTAAAAACATTAGCTTCCAATATAGGGATCTATTTATGGATAACAATAAATCGTTATCGACTAGTGACACCATGCAGCCACGTATACAATGACGTACAATACGAGTGTGATGGCAATATGAATAATAAAATTACAAATTTAGAATCATTGTTACATGAAACACATTTTTTTCTAGCTGAATTTTTTTATATTTATTTAAAGAAGTAGGCGAATGCTAGATGTTCTCTGACCTAATTATGATGTAAAAACATTAGATATTTCGACAACGTAAGTTTAATTATAAGGACAGCAATTTAGCTTTAATGCGAAACTAAAAAAATTATTGGTTTTACCATGATGCGTTTTTATGTCTGTGAACATTTTCAGTTCTCAAAAGACCGATTTTGTTGGTTAATTTATTAAAAGAACCCAATTTTAATATAATTTAGGTTAATAATAATCAGCGGCAAATATTTGAAAAATACCACTCAATTTTAGAAAAAAAAAAAATTACTTATATAAATAATCGGAGTTTTTTTTAAATTTTACGTAATAATAAATATTTTTTATTTATATAATATGATATCTAAATATTATGGTAAAGAAGTATCTTAGTAAGCTTACTTTTTTTACGCTTTTGCAGCTTATAAACAGTCATCATAGTGGTCGTCTACTACGATGTTTCTTATCCAGGGATACTCTGGGTTTCTACTTGTTTACAACAAGTGTTAATTGGTGTACATAATAAACAGTAAAAACTTTTATTTTATTGAATTAACAATTCTATGTAAAACNTTGGGTGGTCAGTAGAGATGGGAATTATGGTTCACCTAAGTGATCCGATTCATTCGAATCAGGTCAACTAGAAGATCCGGTTCAAAGACCCGTTCGCGATCTAAAAGATATTTTGAGTCAATTGAATGGAACATTCAGTATAGTTTTGATTCTTTTGCGGTTCTCGATTCGCGAATCGCATGTATGATTCGCGATTCGGATTAGGGATGTGTCGTATAAACAAATGACATATGAATATGTTATCATTGATATTTGGTAAGCGATCAAATCGGTACAGTGTGATTTATACGGGAAAAAATTAGTTTTTGGGGGATCCGGATCACTACGGTTCGGCGATCTGAATCATTTCGTTCACTATTTTGACCCGTTCAATGCGATCCGTTCGTTCGCGAACGACACATCTCTA